TCCAGCTCTGTCTTCACCTCCGTCATCCTCACCTTGTGATCTCCAACATGGAGGTAGAAATTCTGAGCCTTGGCCTGGACAGGCTGGCTGCCTGCGTGGATGGAAATTTGCCCGCTCATGCGGAGTTGAGACATCAGGAACTGCGAGGCTTTGTGCCTCCTGCACGCGCCGCTCACGGCGAGAATGACATCGCGGAGCTCAGGCAACTCTGCTAGGTCAGTGCACGCTGACGCCATCACCTCCCAGACTTCCTCAACACTGGTCTCAGGAATGTACACATCGAAGCCCTGCAACAGGGTAAGTGAAGAACAAAGATCAGCTCTCTTTCAGAAGACAACGGCATATTCAATGGCGTCGAATTTATCTCATGGTGAAAGATTTTGGAAGTCCCTGCAAGAGAAACAATTCAGATCCAGCCAGAGTCTTTCAAAGTTGGGCCCTGCCCTACTGCAAGAATATATATATATGATATGTGATATGTGTGGTTATGTGGGCAGCCTGTCCACCACAGAGCCTCAAAAAGAACACATTAACAAGAACATTGCAAAGCTCCCTGCCTTCTCCAGCTCTGTCTTCACCTCCGTCATCCTCACCTTGTGATCTCCAACATGAAAGTAGAAATTCTGAGCCTCGGCCTGGACAGGCTGGCTGCCTGCGTGGATGGAAATCTGCCCGCTCATGCGGAGTTGAGACATCAGGAACTGCGAGGCTTTGTGCCTCCTGCACGCGCCGCTCACGGCGAGAATGACATGACGGAGCTCAGGCAACTCTGCTAGGTCAGTGCACGCAGACGCCATCACATCCAAGACTTCCTCAACACTGGTCTCAGGAATGTACACATCGAAGCCCTGCAACAGGGTAAGTGAAGAACAAAGATCAGCTCTCTTTCAGAAGACAACGGCATATTCAATGGCGTCGAATTTATCTCATGTTGAAAGATTTTGGAAGTCCCTGCAAGACAAACAACTTAGATCCAGCGAGAGTCTTTCAGAGTTGGGCCCTGCCCTACTGCAAGAATATGTGATATGTGTGGTTATGTGGGCAGCCTGTCCACCACAGAGCCTCAAAAAGAACACATTAACAAGAACATTGCAAATCTCCTGCCTTCTCCAGCTCTGTCTTCACCTCCGTCATCCTCACCTTGTGATCTCCAACATGGAGGTAGAAATTCTGAGCCTTGGCCTGGACAGGCTGGCTGCCTGCGTGGATGGAAATCTGCCCGCTCATGCGGAGTTGAGACATCAGGAAACGTGAGGCTTTGTGCTTCCTGCAAGCACGGCTCACGGCGAGAATGACATCGCGGAGCTCAGGCAACTCTGCTAGGTCAGTGCACGCTGACGCCATCACATCCAAGACTTCCTCAACACTGGTCTCAGGAATGTACACATCGAAGCCCTGCAACAGGGTAAGTGAAGAACAAAGATCAGTTCTCTTTCAGAAGACAACGGCATATTCAATGGCGTCGACTGTATCTCATGTTAAAAGATTTTGGAAGTCCCTGCAAGACAAACAATTCAGATCCAGCCAGAGTCTTTCAGAGTTGGGCCCTGCCCTACTGCAAGAATATATGATATGTGTGGTTGTGTGGGCGGCCTGTCCACCACAGAGCCTCAAAAAGAACACATGAACAGGAACATTGCAAATTTCCTGCCTTCTCCAGCTCTGTCTTCACCTCCGTCATCCTCACCTTGTGATCTCCAACATGAAGGTAGAAGTTCTGAGCCTCGGCCTGGACAGGCTGGCTGCCTGCGTGGATGGAAATCTGCCCGCTCATGCGGAGTTGAGACGTCAGGAACTGCGAGGCTTTGTGCCTCCTGCACGCGCCGCTCACGGCGAGAATGACATCACGGAGCTCAGGCAACTTTGCTAGGTCAGTGCACGCGGACGCCATCACATCCAAGACTTCCTCAACACTGGTCTCAGGAATGTACACATCGAAGCCCTGCAACAGGGTAAGTGAAGAACAAAGATCAGCTCTCTTTCAGAAGACAACGGCATATTCAATGGCGTCGAATTTATCTCATTTTGAAAGATTTTGGAAGTCCCTGCAAGAGTCTTTCAGAG